ACCTCTTAACACCCAGGTAAGATAGGCAAGAATACTTTGAATCAATAGAAACTCTCCCTAAATTACCCAGGAAGAGAGAAAAAGATTCAACAGAAATTAACAAATGAGAGCAACAACAATATTTTTCAAGGATCTATTGCAATAGGATAAAAAACAATATGCCAGAAGGAGACATGGAGATCTCAACACCATCATTTGCCTAATTCTAAATGCAATTAAAATGTGTTTTGGAATGGAATTTCTGCACAATCAGAGGTAATGCCTTGCCATTCCGGTTAATTTATAAAAAAATCTTTGAACAAACAATTTTGAAATGCTCATTTTTACCATCTTGTCAAATTAAAAGCTATTTAAAAATACTTACATCAACTATCTGAAAGATAATTATGTGAAAAAAGTCCAGATCCACACATCCCTCATCCCACAAATATCACACAGCATTACAAATGATTAATGTTGGATTGAGGAAGTTGGATTAATTCCATATGAACTAATGAGCTCCCCTTCATTTATCATAGATAGCCTGACCAACTCTATCTATAGTAACTGTCTATTGAGGGACAGGCAGTCAAAACGTCAATGCAAGGCATGACAACAAGAAAACCTAAAGAATTAGACACACCAAAAGAAACACAAATCATACATCGACAAACTAAGAGACTAAAGACAAATTATCAAATCAACAGCATTCAATAATAACACATTTTCAAGTTCACACCTCAGTATAGATCTGTATCAGTACTTGCAGACTAAACAAGGTGTAGTCAATAATTATTGAAGCAAATTAAAGAGACATGATATTCACCACAAAAACATGAAAACAAACTTTCTATTTTTATACATTCAACTAAACATCGAAACCCCAGAAGTTGCAGGAAGCAGCACAATTGTATAGTAAAAACAAGTTCACAGAAAGTAAATATAACTGCAGAAGAAAAAAAACACAAATGCCTTTACATGCAAAAAACCCAAAACAGATGCTTAATCATAGCCATTCACCACCCACCCAGAGTGCAAAATCCACAGATACAAGTGCAGAATCTAAACCAAGTATAAACAAACGTAAGTTATACATCCTCACAAATGTTGCACCAATTGTCGTCCATTTAGAAAATCAGATGTAGTGGTCAGACAAGTTGTAATGCTGATTGATGTCAGCTTCTTGTTTACTAACTTAGGCAATATACTGTTAATGTCCATGGAGTTGCATTTACAGTTATTTCTGCAGAAATAAAGAAAAAAGCCTACCAAGTAATTGCTGTAGAGAGGTTAATGTTTATTTTCAATTGTAAAGTATCATCAGCAATATATTTTAAAAATGACATTGTAATTCATTCTATAAATATTTCCAGTTGTTGCTCAAAAAAAAGCTCAATTCTTTTCAGAAAATAAAGTACAATTCACATTTATAAATAATATCTAAAACAAAAGGTACTTTCGCCAATTCAAAAGCTGTACATAAAAGAATATTTCCAACGAAACATTCAAATAAACACAGCATTTTGATTCACATGAATACTTTCTCAGTAAACTTGCAAATATGAAAATCTAACTTGACCATATCCATCATAATTGCAAAGATAGAACATAGAACATTACACTGCAGTACAGGCCCTCCGGCCCTCGATGTTGCGCCGACCTGTGAAACCAATCTGAAGCCCATCTAACCTAAACTATTCCATTATCATCCATATGTTTATCCAATGACCATTTAAATGCCCTTAAAGTTGGCGAGTCTACTACTTTTGCAGGCAGGGCATTCCACGCCCTTACTACTCTCTGAGTAAAGAACCTACCTCTGACATCTGTCCTATATCTATCACCCCTCAATTTAAAGCTATGTCCCCTCGTGCTGGCCATCACCATCTGAGGAAAAAGGCTCCCACTGTCCACCCTATCTAATCCTCTGATCATCTTGTATGTCTCTATTAAGTCACCTCTTAACCTTCTTCTCTCTAACGAAAACAGCCTCAAGTCCCTCAACCTTTCCTCATAAGACTTTCCCTCCATACCAGGCAACATCCTGGTAAATCTCCTCTGCACCCTTTCCAATGCTTCCACATCCTTCCTATAATGCGGTGACCAGAACTGTACGCAATACTCCAAGTGCGGCCGCACCAGAGTTTTGTACAGCTGCAACATGACCTCATGGCTCCGAAACTCAATCCCTCTACCAATAAAACCTAACATACTGTACGCCTTCTTAACAACGCTATCAACCTGGGTGGCAACTTTCAGTGATCTATGCACATGGACACCGAGATCTTTCTGCTCATCCACACTACCAAGAATCTTACCATTAGCCCAGTACTCTGTATTCCTGTTACTCCTTCCAAAGTGAATCACCTCACACTTTTCCGCATTAAACTCCATTTGCCACCTCTCAGTCCAGCTCTGCAGCTTATCTATGTCCCTCTGTAACCTGCAACATCCTTCCGCACTATCCACAACTCCACCGACTTTGGTGTCATCCGCAAATTTCCTAACCCATCCTTCTACGCCCTCATCCAGGTCATTTATAAAAATGACAAACAGCATTGGCCCCAAAACAGATCCTTGAGGTACACCACTAGTAACTGAACTCCAGGATGAACATTTCCGATCAACCACCACCCTCTGTCTTCTTACAGCTAGCCAATTTCTGCTCCAAACCGCTAAATCACCCTCAATCCCATGCTCCGTATTTTCTGCAATAGCCTACCATGGGGAACCTTATCAAACACTTTATTGAAATCCATATACACCACATCAACCGCTTTACCCTCATCCACCTGTTTGGTCACCTTCTCAAAGAACTCAATAAGGTTTGTGAGGCACGACCTATCCTTCACAAAACTGTGTTGACTATCCCTAATCAAGTTATTCCTTTCTAGATGATTATAAATCCTATCTCTTCTAATCCTTTCCAACACTTTACCCACAACCGAAGTAAGGCTCACTGGTCTATAATTACCAGGGTTGTCTCTACTCCCCTTCTTGAACAAGGGGACAACATTTGCTAGTCTCCAGTCTTCTGGCACTATTCCTGTAGACAATGATGACATAAAGATCAAAGCCAAAGGCTCTGCAATCTCCTCTCTAGCTTCCCAGAGAATCCTAGGATAAATCCCATCCGGCCCAGGGGACTTATCTATTTTCACACTTTCCAGAATTGCTAACACCTCCTCCTTATAGACCTCAATCCCATCTAGTCTAATAGCCTGTATCTCAGTATTCTCCTTGACAACATTGTCTTTGATGCTTGCTCTCAGTTTCTTCACACTGCAAGCCACTTCAGCGGCAAGTCTGCCAGGTACCCATTCACTTCACAGTCAACATTTACTACACGGAAACCCACGGAATGAACAGAAACAATAAGCTGCTCCACAATCACTTTGTACATGTGATTGAATTAATCGTGTACTATCGTCTGTGTTGAGCAAATACTATAAGCAATACTAGATTCCAAACAAAAATGCTAAATATAAAAAAGTATTACATTGCCTGGAATATAGTGTAAGGCAAATGCTAAACAAATGTGAAGCTTGTTATTTATTATCAATATACTGAAATGGATTAACTCTTAAATGATACTGTATGCTCTTAGTGAATTCGGCCATTGAAATGATTTTTAAGTGAAGCAGAGTTTATACGACAGTGCACAAGCTGATGTTGGAAATGATGGGATCCAGAGCAGGTCACTAGCACTAATCAATGTACTTTTGTTGAATATAAAGAAAACATAAACGTTAGATTTCAAAAACAATGATACAAATTATGTGATTGAATCGGGAAATATGAATCAAAAGACAAACTCAACCGCATTATTTGAAACAGTCAGAATATTAAAAAGCTTACAAATAAATGTCATGGCTCCTAAAGTACAATCAAAAAATGCTGAAAAATACACAACTCATCATCTCCACATCCCTGTCAACTTAACCATCGAGACCAAGCAGTGCTAGCATCAAATCTCCAGCCATGTGCACCTTCCTGTGATTAGTCGAACAATGCAATTAGCCCATATCAAACGTGTGCCTCCCTTTTGACTTGTCATACAGCAATTTGAAACAAGGATAAATGATTTTTGTTATTCAACATCCTTCTCAAACCACGCACTGTGAATTGCACAAGATTTTCTATAACAGCCATTCCTTGCCAGGAAGGATTTCCTTCGTATAGTTCATAGAATCACACAGACTATTGACCCCTTTCTGCCTGTTTCAATATATGGCAAGCTCATTAGTCCCCACACCCTACTCTTTCCCTGCAGGCCTATAATTTATTTTCTTTTCAGTTATTTCTTTTAATTGCTAAACCTGTTGCCGTCACCCTTTCAGGTCACAAATTGAGTATCAAAAGAACTGGGTAAAAGAACGTTCTTCAGATCTCCCCATCTGGACTGTTTTCTTGTAAAATAATTGTGTAAAATCATCTGTTGATGCACTGTCTTGTAAGTGGAATTGTTTACAATGTCGAACGTCTCTATTGAAATCTCTCCCTGACTATTGTTCTGAGAAGAACATTCCACACTCTCTACACATGTCCCTCATGCTTGGCGTAATTCTGAAAATCGCAAACCTTCGTTTCGCTAAATGTACTGCCATCTGCGTGCCTATTAAATGCTAAACTGAGCTCGGGCTTCTCCGGAATAAAACAAAACCAGAACTGGAAAACGATAGAGACTGACACAGAGACCAGAACAATTTTTTTTTTAAACGGGCTTTTCAATTACACCGGGAAAATAAATAAATACGTAAAGGTATGATAAACCCGAAAGTTAATTCCCCCTCGCTCGCTACTCTTTCTAGTACAGTGTAAGAAGACCCATGTGGGTGTTTGAAAAATTATTTGATGTGAAGACAATACTTTCACTCTTGGTGCCTCTTATCTCCGACTGGCCTCCACCGTACTGTCAGTCTGGGGAGGTTTGTAAACTACATTGTTGTTGTTTATTGATCAGGGTTCCTGCTGCAGGGACTTTCCAGGTTTTCACTTCAGGAGCGGAGGGGTAAGGGGTGGCCAGTTAAAATGCAACATTTAAAACACACACACACACAGCTTGCTGCGAGTTTCGTATCGTAGGCGGCATTCCCTGTACGGATTCCCCACGTCACAGTTCCTTTGGAAAGCTCCAGTTTATATGTCGGGGAAGCTAAAGGCAGACATCAAATCGCCACCTCTCCGAGCAAAGCCAGAACCGCCGGTGAGACAAGGGTCACGGATAAGATGGATGCAAGGGGCGAAGACGCCGTAGCTATGGTGGGGCCAGCGGCCGGTGTGAAGCTACAGGATACTCGCTGGAGGCGCACTCGCCTGGCGCTCGCATGTTGTGTGAGCTGCTGCTTCCTGCTCGCAGCGCTCAGCGCTTACTTACTGGTCAAACAGCTGCCTCCCCAGAAGGTGAGAGAGAGAGAGAGAGACACTTTCCTCCTCATTCCGACTTTCTAACGATTTCTCTCCACAGATGCTGCTGAGCTTTTCCAGCAATTCTGTTTTTGTTTCTAACGAGCTGTATCAACAAACTGACGGTGACTGTAATTCTAAGTTTGCCATTTTAAGCTTGGCGCTGAACCCTTCAAGCTCGACATTCATCCTAAATGTTCTCTTAAACTTGACAGCAGTTGCCAAATTTAAGTGTGCTGTTGATCCAGCTTGGCATTGATTACAACGCCACTTTCTTGCTCGTAATTTTATTTTAGTTTGGCATTAAAGGTTAAGTGTAACACAAGCCAAAGAATTACAGATTGACAGTCTCCTTTGTTTTAAGCAACGTTTTCATAATGTACTCAACTCTCTAAAACTTCCCATTTATTTTGTTTCAGCCTGGACCACAGAAATCCGAAGTGATTGGTTAGTATCTTTTTCAATAAATTTTACATTTAAAAAGCTGGTTCTTACTGTATTCTTACCGTGGAATGAGTTCCGTGATGCTGACAAAACTTTCCCTTTTATTCCCCATCCCAGGACAACCGTTGGACATCGTTGAGAAGCCCAGGGCACACCTGACAGGTCAGAGATGTCGCTGTTTTCATTTTATTGTTTGCTGACGGCAACTCATATAAAAACAACTATAAAAATATATATCCATAACAAGCGTGTGTCACAGAATTGTTAGTAGGTTACTTCTGAAATATTAAGATATATGGCAACCCTAATCATTTCTGCCATATTCAAATCTGAATATATCTGTAATATAACATGCAATCCTTCACTGTAACCGATACTAAAAAGTTATTCACACCATTCAGACTTTGCAATAGTCCTGCTTATTGATATTTCCCTTGGTTCTTGTCACATTCTGACCATCATAAATCGTTTAAAAAATATAGATTTGTCCAACATTATAATGCTAATGTTACCTAGATTTTGTAGTCCATGCTTGTCCTAGTATCTGTATAGCTTCGAGTCAAGAAATCTTCTATTAAGTGTTTCCCCCTGTGATGTTTTACAAAAATTTACCATTAGGTTTTGTTCAAAGGTCATTGGCTTTGTTTTCATTTCTAATCAATTCGAAGGCAGGTTATTTTAACATTCAATGCAATGATTCAAAATATATCTAGCAAAGAAATATTGTTGCAACTGTTTCAAACTCAAAAAGATCGCATTTTCTACAATCAAGAATTAGAAAGCGCTAGGTTGCAATGTAGAAGGTGTATTTCCTCATGAGAGTGACTATACTGTCAGAAGATAATACATTCAGCATTGAGGTGTTTTCATTTTGATGGGTTCAAATGCCAATTTGACTTCTGGACTCTGAAATTAGACAGTTGTCTAGCTGATGGTAGAAACATCAACCAGAATTAGTAGAATTTGTGCTGTTCATGTAGCTAATGATTAACCAATAATCTAAAATCATAAAAATCAGACCTAATCCTTTTGTGAAAGTAGGTTTGTTTATGTGCCACCGGACAGGTAAAGCTTAGCTCAAATTGAGTCATTACGTATAATTTCAAAGACCTACGGATATTGGTTTTAGAGAAATGTCTTTTTTAAATTAAACAGGAAAACTTTAAGTAACTAGATTTTTATTTTTAATTTTAGCCAAACTTACTTCGGTTGGTGGAATCGAAGGGCAATACTCCACTCTCCAGTGGGAAGATAAAAATGGACTTGCTTTCACAGAAGGCCAGCTAAGTTATCAGAACCCAGCACTCATCATTCCGAGACAAGGAACCTACTTTGTCTACTCCCAGGTGTCATTTAGAAGCAGCAGCAGGGTTAAAAACATTACTCATATCAGTCACATCATTACCAAGTTAACCTCAAGTTACCCTGAACCCACACATTTACTGAGTTCCACCAGATCTCTCCATGGAAATCAAAATCGTTGGCAAGTGACCATTTATTTAGGAGCTATATTCCAGCTACAAAAAGGAGACAGGTTAGTAGTAAATGTCAGCAATGTGAATCAGGTGGATTTTACCAATGATCATAAAACTTACTTTGGCGCATTTTTACTATGATCAATAAATCAAATGGGCAGTGCCATATTCATTGATTAGGGAGGGTAGTTATACCAAGAATTGTAGGGCTACATATTAATTCTTTCTTGAAGTTCTATCTGTCTGATTGAATTAATATTTCTGGGTTCAAATTTATGCAGCAGGAATCTTTAGTTTATAAATAGTGTTATATAAGCATGAAGTCAACTTGTGAACTGTGAAGGGTGGAGGCTTCATCGTTCATGCCAGATGACAGTTTGACTGTTGAACACTGAGAGACCAAGGAATCCAACAAAGGAATGCTGGAGGAGCAAAAATATGCAGTCTTATTAACTTAACAGCCCGAGAATGAAAGCCAGGACAATGCAGCAAAGTTAACAAAAGTACTGAGAAGAGTGAAGCAATCTATCAAGTTGCCAAATACTCTTTAGCTCAGTCAGAATACTACAGAAGTCAATGTGGCCCTTATGGGAAGTTGACTCCCTCCTTTTAAATCATATCACTGTTAGCAACTGGAAAGAACCCCCTATGTTTATGTTAATAAAAGTGCTCAGAATTCATATTCAGTAAAAAAAAGACACTAAAATTACAACATAAGAGCTAGATATTCAGTCAACAGAGTGAACAAAACAGTTACAAGTTCTGTTATATTAATGTGTGCTTTTCTTCTTACAAGAAAACATTTCTAGACCAGTTCATATTTTCAATTTAAGTTCTCAAATTTATGATGTGAACTTTGTTGCTATGCAATATAAAATTTTCATATGTATTATTTATATACTGTCAAATGTTGCTACAACATTATAGTGATAAATAGCACTTAAAGAATGCAAAGCTTACAGCTGAGTACATCATATTAAGTAAGAAATGTCTCTGATATTATTAGTTTTATATGTTTGAGTTAAGAGAAAGACATACGTACAAGGCTGATTGAATGTTCAACAGTCACTTAATTTGCTGCAAAAGTTATACATCATCTATTCCTCATTATGATGTACATTTAAGCTACAGATTGTGTACATTATGTTTTATATTAAAACCTTCGTTATTTACTGACATATTTTACATATTGTATGATCATGTCAAATACTTATCTGTATTGTAGAAATTCTTTGGAATGACTACCTTTTTACTGTATTGAATCTCTATCAAGATTCCTGATTTTTTAACTAGTTTGTAGGATGTATATTCATTCAAATAGCACTAATTTCAAATATATATTCTACTCATAGTTCAAGGAATTTACCCAGCAATTAGTCATGCTACACAAATCAGGGAGATCCCAGATTTGACAATCTAATTCAGTTTCAACAGCTGTAATGGCCCAGGTCAATGGGGAGGGGGAGGGTGTGTGCGGAAGAATGACTCCAAGCTCTTCTGATGCTTTCAAGTATTCTCAATCAGGAATGCATATGCTGTGAACATTGGATAAGACTAAGATCCGGCAAATTGCGCAGCTCCCACAGTTAAATAACCTGCCAACACACTGATGTGAACAATAGTAGCTGGGAATGGGGGTTGACTCCAATAGTCTGTGGTCTAATAAGGAGTGATTCCTGTAACAGGAAGTGAGACAATGTGAGAAAAAAAAGTTTTTACCTTTCATTTAATACCATATTTTATTTCTGATTGTTAATTATAGTGATTTAATATCTAATTAAGAAAATTAACTTTGCATTGAATAAAGACTGAAATCAATGATAATTTTGTTTTTTTTGGGCTCAACAAGCATATATAAACATGTTTTATAATTTTAATAAAAAGATAAATGTGTAGAAAAAAGTGATGTGAAGTCAGAAAGAGTCATTAATTTCTCTTCCTCCTTCTCTTCAAAACTGTTACAATCATCCTGTCAACAATGGGGCATATACAGTACTTTTTATTAATCCAAAGCACTTCACTGGAGTGTTAGAAAGCAAAATCTGATGCAGAGCCACATTATTAACACATTAAGATTAATGTCCAAAAGCTTGGCCAGAAGGGATATGTTTTAAGAATGTCGTAGAGGAGGAAGTATAGTCAACAGGTGGGGATATTTCGAGAGGGAATTCCAGAGCCTAACACTGAGTCAGGTGAAGGCACACTCACCAAGGACAGACCAATTAAAATTAGGACTCAGGAAGTTTGAGTGAGAGGAGCATAGATACCTCGAAAGGTTGTGGCTGAAAGAGATTAACAAAGGTGACTTTTTTCTTTTAAAAAGGAGTCACCGACAATAGGGATGATGATGGGTTAATGGAACTGGGTTAATGGTTAATGCTTCAACACAGGCATCCGGCCCTGTATTCCAGCGGCCTGGCACGGCGGTCTTAGAGCAGTACTGTCTTTCCCAAACCCAGGAGTCATGAATTTAACTATGATGGACTTTGTCTTTTTTTTTAAAAGCCATTATTCTTATCTATGCCTACTGTCATTTATATAGGTGCCATGGTATGGTGACCTAAACACTTTTCACTGTATTTTTTGTGAAAAGGACAAATGACAATAAACGACTATTCTATTCTACCTGATATGAATTAGGGCATGCCAGTACACTTTCAGGTTACCTCAGGTTTACAGAAAGTAAAATATAGACTGTTAACCAGGAGTACAATCGAATAGTCAAATTTACAGAAAACACAAAACACTCTTCAAAGAATCCCTACAGTGTGGAACCAGGCCATTCGGCCCATCGAGTCCACACCAACCCTCCAAATATCATCCCACCCAGATCCAGCCCCCTCTCCTATCCTTGTAACCCTGCATTTCCTGTGGCTAATCCACACAGCCTGCACATCCCTGGACACTATGGGCAATATAGCATGGCCATTCCACCTAACTGGCACAATCTTTGGACTGTAGGAGGAAACCGGTGCACTTGGAGAAGACCCACATGGATACGGGGATAATGAACAAACTCCACACAGTCGCCTGAGGGTGGAATTGAACCCGATCCATGGCGCTGTGAGGCAGTAATGCTAATCACTCAGCCACCGTGCTGCCCCAATATTCTGTTGATGCAAGCTGTCTCCCCAACTCCAAGCTCTATTTTCTCTCCCAAGTAACTGAATGGACCGTTGCCCTGTAATATGTGCCCATTTTTCCATGTTCGAATTCCTCCAGTTCAATTTCCATGCCTGCCACAGCATTGAAAGTTCTCTTACCACAGCCGCAAATAACAGTCTTTGCAACTGTGATAAACTATTCTGAAATAACTTTATTTACAGGTGAACAGTCGTTGACTATAGTACTATCTCATTCAGAGTTAGGCACCAGACTGTCAGTACCCCAACACTGAATCATCTTCTGTCAGCCAGGTCTCTCTGATTGGACCAGATTAACACCCCCAATTAGGGAACACATATTCTTTGAGTTCCAGCTGGCTGACCTTGTTATGAATACCTCTCTGTCCTTTGAACTCTGCCAGCATTTGATCACCCACCTGCAACACCTATCTACCACTGTCTACGTGGAAGGGCTACAACAGTTTAATTCCAATCTATACAGTCATGACCAGAGAACTGGCTGATGGCCTCTGTGCTTCACTCATATAATTACCTCTGGTGTCCCTGAAGAGCCTTAACTTGGTCCTTTTCTATTTCTCACTGACATGTTGCTCCTTGGTAATATCATCAAAAATGAATAATCTTTCCACATGTATGCAAAAGCCACCCAGTCCTCCCTCAACAGCACCTCCCCCACCCTCTCCATACGCTCTAATTTGTAAGACCACTTGTCTAACATTCAGTACTGGATGAACAGAAATTTACTCCAAACCATATTGGGTACATTTCCTTTGAACCTGACGACAAATGTTGTTATGTTGTTACCAACTCAATTGTTCTCCCTGACCGCTCTGGCAGGCTGAATCAGGCCATTTGCAGGCTTCACAATACGTTTGATTCCAAAGTGACCATCGACCACATATTCACACCAAGACCACTTACTTCAGCTCCAATAACATCATACAAGTCTGACCATGCCACAATCCTCATCTACTGCTGAAAATCTCAGTTCATTAAAAAATGCAAACTATTGTTATTGTTTAGCACTAATTCCTGTAACCTACCCTTCCAAATAAGATCAAAAAGCAAAGTTAACCAAATTGTTAGTTTTACATTGACACTTTTTACTGATGCTCTGTTATGTCAGTTCTTTTCTTTACATTCTTCGATCATACCACTTCAAATTTCTCACAATACTTACCACTGTATCTAGACTCATAATAAATAAATATAACCAAAATGAGTATGGCTATAAGGCAATTTAGACACAAGAAACACAGAAGAAAGGAGCAGGAGTAGGCCATTTGCCCCATCAAGCTGCTTCACATTTCAATATGATTATGGCATCCAACTTAGCACCATGTTTCTGCTTTCTTCCCATACTCTTTAATTCCTTTAGCCCTAAGAACTATATTTTACTGTTTCTTGAAAACACTCGATGTTTTAGCCTCAATTGCTTTCTGTGGTAGAGAATGCCACAGACTCACCACTCTCTGGGTAAATAAATTTTTCCTCATCTCAATCCTAAATGGCCTACCATTTATTCTTAGACTGTGACCCCTGGTTCTGGACTCCCTGGTCATCGGGAACATCTTTCCTTGTTTACCCTGTCTAGTCCTGTTAGTCTTTTATAGGTTCCTATAAGGATCCCCCCATCACTCTTTAGTGAGCACAGACCTACCTGATCCAATCTTTCTTTATACATCAGTCCTGCTGTCTGAGGAATCGGTCTGGTAAGTCTTTGTTGCACGCCCCCCCATAGCCAGAACATCCTTCCTCAGGTAAGGAGACCAAAACTGCACACAATACTTTTGATGTGGTCTCACCAAAGCCCTGTTGTATGCTCATCACATAATTCCGAGCTGCATTAACAGTTTTTTGACTGTTAAAATGGTTAAGTAGCTTTTATCAGGAGCGTAAAAAGCACTATAGAATAATTCTTCTAAAGGACTATTATTTCCATTTATCTTTTAACATTTAACTTTGTTTATTTATAAAACTGCTTTCTAAAGAATCATATTTTTGAACTACGTGCTTCTGCAATTATTCAGTTGTAAGTCTTGATTAACATAGGTATCCATAAAACAAAAAAGACATTATTTATCATATGATTAATATCAAAATCTCCTACTATAATTAAGAAGTAGTTCCTTAAATCATTCCCAAAATGTGAGCAACACCAGCATTTATTGTCCATTGCCATGAGGAGGTGATGGTCACATTTCTTGAATCATTGCCGTTCACGGTGTGGCTCAGTAGTGAGTTTCAGGTGTGGTGATACAATGGTTTTAAGAAGTATATTTTAGCCTGGTTTTTGTCTTATGAAGAAAGGTTGAGACAGAGGTGCTGAGCGGTCTGCTGAAACCCAATAGAGTGAACAGCTTGTGAGGCCTTGAGGCATCTTTTAGAGTTGGAACAATAGAAACAGCCTGAATGGGTGGGGTCAAGCTCCCACAGAACCAAGATGTTTAATTTTAGCTTTCAGCAGTTGCAGGGGTCTTGCAGCTGGATATGGAAACTCTTATTCCTTTCTCTGTAATACAACTAAAAGCTGAGGTTCTCTTCTTGCTCCTGGAATTGCATGTAAGACAATTTGTTTCACTGAATTTGCCTTTGCTAAGAGTGTTTATGAAATGTTACTGTACTGGAACAGTTAATTGTTAGTGGTTAATATACATATTATTTCGTTAAGCATTTTGATAGAGTTACAGTGAAACAATTCTTTTATTTTATCTGTATTTCAACTGTAGTGTAAAGTGTGTTTTTCTTAACATCGAGTAGTTTGACGAATTGAATTGCATCTGGAACACAATAACTTATACTTACCTTTAAAATAAGAAAAAGTTAGGGTCCAGGCTATTTTATTAGTATATTTTGAAGGTGTTTGGTCTGGTCCATAACACAGGCTTTTGAACTAGTTTTAAATGAAAAAATAGTACTACATTCAGACATAGTAGGAACTGCAGATGCTGGAGAATCCGAGACAACAAGGTGCAGGGCTGGATGAACACAGCAGGCCAAGCAGCATCATAGGAGCAGAGAGGCTGACATTTCGGGCCTAGACCCTTCATCAGAAAAGGGGGAGGGGAAGGGGGTTTTGAAATAAATAGGGAGAGAGTGGGAGGCGGATAGAAGAGGGATAGAGGAGAGGATAGGTGGAGAGGAAACAAACAGGTCGAAGAGGCGGGGATGGAGCCAGGAAAGGTGAGTGTGGGTAGGGAGTTAGGAAGGGGATAGGTCAGTCCAGGGAGGACGGACAGGTCAAGGGGGCGGGATGAGGTTGGTCGGTAGGAGATGGAGGTGCGGCTTGAGGTGGGAGGAGGGGATAGGTGGGAGGAAGAACAGGTTAGGGAGGCAGGGACGAGCTGGACTGGTTTTGGGATGCGGTGGGGGGAGGGGAGATTTTGAAACTTGTGAAATCCACATTGATACCATTGGGCTGCAGGGTTCCCAAGCGGAATATGAGTTGCTGTTCCTGCAACCTTCGGGTGGCATCGTTGTGGCACTGCAGGAGGCCCAGGATGGACATGTCGTCTGAGGAATGGGAGGGGGAGTTGAAATGGTTCGCGACTGGGAGGTGCAGTTGTTTGTTGCGAACCGAGCGTAGGTGTTCTGCAAAGCGGTCCCCGAGTCTCCGCTTGGTTTCCCCGATGTAGAGGAAGCCACACCGGGTACAGCGGATGCAGTATACCACATTGGCAGATGTGCAGGTGAACATCTGCTTGATGTGGAAAGT